GAAAGCCATGCAATCTTACTCAGTTTTGCGAGCCCTCTCTTTAAATTGCTCTTGCATATGCTTGATAAGATCATTACTCGTTTCCATGTTCTGGTCCTCCCATCGCTTACGAATCACAATATTTAGGATACTTTCGAAGCCTAAGAGTTTGTTGGAGTTTGTAGACTGTCTCAGTTGAGGAGCCATTTCATCATCCTTCATTTTAATCTCATTTCTTGATATCCTTTCATATAATGATTTCAGATACTCCTCCGGCAAATCTTTACCGTCATCTATGCCACGATTATTTCTAATGAAATCTTCAGCAGACATCTGCATAAAGAGAAATATATAAGCATTCTCTCTTTAATATTAACCAGATTATCAGAGATAGGGATCAGACCTTGTTCTTAACCATCGGGTTATGGGCATCAGTATTAAGCAATATGACGGAGTATGCAAGGACATAGGCCGTATCAGCACTTATGAAAGCTTTTGGATTACACTTGCAATAACGCTCGGCAAACTTTTCCATAATACGATCGATCTTTTGTGCCTCACCGGGCAACCTAAAACCTTTAAGGAGTGCTCTAATGGCCTCATCAAACTCCAATCCTTGAAAATCAAAGGAATCCACATATGCATGCATTACTTTAAGTGATAAGTCTTCCCTCTCCCCTAAATAATCACCAATCAGAGACTTATCCAAACCAGACGCATCTTTAAGAAAAGCAGCTATCTCCTCAGGTGAACTTCCCACCTTATTAGCATTGATAAGAAATTCAATTCCTTTCTTAGGTTTGCGATTAAAAAGTGATATACCTTCCTGCCACAAGTCATCGAGTAGTTCCACAATAGTTAATAAACAATGCAGAAAAAGATAGAGACGTTGCAACAAAAGATAGAACGTCAGCTTACCTGGAGTTCAAGCTTGTATGCACGACGTTGCTCTATTGTCGAAACATCAGAAATATCGGTGGAAACTTCAGAATGGGAATCTGAACCTTCACCATGCTCATCAGTAGTACCATTTGAAATTGGAACATTGCCAGATTCCGAGCTGTTTTCGGCTACTTCGATCTTCTTGGTGGAATGGGGATCTGGAATCCTTAGCTGCCTATTCAACCAGTCTCCCATTGATTTCAAGATAGCAACTAAGCACTTCATAGCTTCAAGTTTCATGGTCAACTCCTGAGGTGGCAACAGTGTAGTTACTACACCTGGCGGAACACCTTGAGCAGTTTTAAGAAGTCCATTGACCATTCTGAAAGGATCACGTATCAGGTGAGAATTCTTATTGCTAGAATCTCAAGCACCATGTTTGAAAAGTTGCATACCTACCTCTCAAATATGTTGGATGAATTGACATCACAATCATAATTAATAAAAATATCCACCAATATTTGGGAATCGACGCACAGCTTTTCTACGAATCGAAGAACTATCATCTTCTGTTGAAAGTTCGGTTGAGCAACATTTTCCAAGACTCTCAGAACAATCATGGGGAAAAAGACACCAATCTCTGCTTTCAATCCAGCTCTAAATCGTGATACCAGACTGATGAAAATGGAGCATGATAGCTGAAATATAATCATAAGAGTTGAAGCGCTGTTCTTCAACAATGAAAGACACAAATACTGCTTAATGGCACCCAGAAACCTGTTGTATAGACATTTTTTAGTACTAATGATTTGCCACCAGAAGTACAACAAGAGAAAATCTAAAGCACATTTTTTGCCTGTGAGAAAGCAAGTTCATCAAAATGCAACGACAAGGACACCAAGCAAGGAGAACCAATATCAGAGTGGACAATTCTACCACCAATTTCAACTAGCTTTCATCAAGAAAAATGCAAGTATAATTGAAAACTATCATACAAAAAGCCTGGCTTTATACTCGTAGCCCATGCCACCTATTAATCTATTTTCAAGTAATTCTTGACTCCAATTCAATAAGGTGTTGGTAGAAGCTAAACCAAAAATATGTCGACTTCGCTGGATTCTTTTTGTCGTAGCATACAGAAAACAACTTTTTGGTGATGTACTAATCATAACAAATTCATTCCTTCTGTAATTATAGACTTTCTTATTATCATGACTAGAAGACTCTTCCTTTGTAATCCTCTGTAGTCCTTGGGAGGGAATTTTCTCTACCCCTAGCCCCTAAGTTGTTTCTCCTCGTTTTGCGAGTAACGTGCTTCTTATCCCCTCCCCTCCCCTCCCGAAAAAAAAGAGAAAATAAAGTTCGTCAATACGAGCACAACTCAACCGTTATGGAGTCCCTACTACCCCACATGTGATGAATAATTTGAGAAACTCCCAACAACCTCAGGGAGACACCCAACTAATACCACAAGTAGCCAATAATCAGCTCTGAGGGGAAACTCCAAAGCAAGTGGTCTAGATCCTCCATTACCCTCCAGCATAACACATGCCATAAAGGACCCAGTACCAAGTAAAAAGATCTTTAGACCACGGAATTTAACCTCCGCAGGGTAACCAAGCAAGAAAAGAACTTGATTTTCTTATTTTTAATCTTCCAGAGCAAGGTAAGGATCCAAGAGGTAAAAGATTGGTTGAACAAACGAGTAAAAAAAATTTGATATATCAATGCAGATTCCAATCATAAGAATGTATAAAATACCTCTCACTCGTTCTAAAAACAGCACCAGCATTTTCCAGCAAAATTTTGAGCAATTCCAATGCGACAATCTTCCCCTTCATCAACTGCGGATCCGCCATTGCCTCCTTCGGTGGTGTCTTCATGGATAACTTGCAAAGAGCTCTGAACACCAAGAATGCATCCCTCCGCAGCTTATTACCAATCTGAATTTCCAAATCATCGTCTCTCTCGCCCTCCCCATCTGCCAACTCCCCTTTCCTTCCCTCCAGTGCCGTTTTGTACATGCTAATCTCCCAATACTTCGCGTCCAACATATCCTTGTCAGTTGAATCCAGCAAATCAGCAGGATTCGTTGTTTCCACCGTAGTAGTCTCAAATGCACCATCGTGCGCACCTATTGACACCTTACCGGGCGTGGCCGGATTCAAAACCCCGTCAATGTCCTGTATAATTTTCGTGATAAACCCTTGTACAAACTGCGTCATCGACCCATCTGCATCCGTTTTCTCGATCGGTTCCATCAATTCCGCAACAACAATAGGCTGAACAGGAACTGTAGACGAATCTGCCTCCATTCTCCGGAACACGATCACTAGCATTTGAATCAACGATGCCTTTGCTGTAGTTTGATTAATCACATTCTTACTGTCCAAGTAGATATCGTAACAAGTCTTAACAATCTGCAGCAAACAATCCCCGTGAATTCGTAACGAGATCGACGTGACAGCCGATAAAAGCGTCTTGAGCACCAAAAGCTCGAGAGCGTCATCACCTAAATCGTGACATTTGCACACCGATTCGATCAGCTTCGCCAGTAGTTTCCCCTCAACGCCTCCGCTGGGGTCAGCCTCGCCACGCAAATAACCATACGCGATCAACTTTTGAATGCAATCAACTGCTGGATCAGCTATCTTGAGAACTCCCGAGGATGAAGCATTGATGAGTGGGCTAAGAATAGACTCGGACTCAGCGAGCGAATGTTCATCCGGACCGCCATCGTTGAGGGGGCCGGGAAGCGCACCTTCAGCCTCGGAATCAGTAGGAGACGACGGAGAAGATGGAGAAGAAGGCTTTGGTGAGGACGCGAGGCGTTCAATAACAGATTTGCATTCATGTGCGAGCTTGGAGTGCTTCCGCCACGACGCATTCTTAACGATCTTCTCAAGAGCTGGGGTTATGACCTGGCTCAGACGGGAAGCGGCTTCCGAAGAAGCCATTCCCACCAAGTTTGTAAGATCCGGACAAGCTAGTCAGGATCTACCAAGAAATGAACAATTGTTAGGGTTTTAGCTTCCACTCTGATCACCGGAATGTTACCCGCTCCGGCAATGTCGGAATTTGACTCAGTCGGATTAGATCGCAATCACCGCCGGTGACGTCGCCGGCTCCGGAGAGAGCATTCTCTCTGTATCAGAAAGAGAGAGATCGTGGAAATGGGAGAAGGGTTGGTTGAGATTTAGATCGCGTTTGAGCCGTCTTTACTTTTCTCTTATTTAGATTTAGTTTTATTTTCTAAGTGAAATGACCAATAAGCCCTTTGAATTTAGCGGGAGACACCTCGTGAACGTTGCAGCAACGCTTGTTTGCTCAGGGCTTTTGGGAATAAATAATTTAATGGCGTGTTTTTAGCTGTCCTGATCGCCGGGTAAGATAATACTCGGGGAGGGAAATTCGTCATCGTAAATCGTTAACGTTGCCTGAATTATTATATGGATAAATAAATTATTATATGCTGAAGTGTCACTGGTTGCTTTCTGTTTTTAATTTGTTTTTAATATTTTAAAGTTTTTAAATTTTATTTTATCAAATATTAAAAAATAATCAATTACATCCTAATTAAGCATTTTCTTAGATAACGAAACTCTTATTTAACAATCCAAATAATTTCCATAAGTTAATAAAAAATTGATAATAATTTAAATTTATAGACTAAAACTTATTTTATTAATTTTCATGATTTTTAATTAAATTTATGCTCACATCGACATCGACATCGACACTTTCATAAAGTCGTGATTAGTTATTTAAAAATAATTTTAAAATTATTAAAATCACTATTCAGAACAAAAAAAATGATTAAATGATTATTAATAGCCACAAAAAGAAAAAGGGATTTATTAATATATTTGAGCTAGATTTTTGTTGAAATTTATGAATTTTTTAATAATTATTTTTATTTAAATTAGTGTGTGAAATACTTGAAATTAAATAAATGGTGGCAATATTTTACTAGAAATTGAATATATGTAATAAAAATTGATACAGACTGGGCCTGCAGAAAATCCAGGAGGAAATGGAGGCCCAACTCGGACAGTTGGGCCCAAAAAGCCCATATTCCGAACAATCCGATTGCAGTTATCGGGTATAGTCCTGAGAATTTGATCCATTCTATTGATTTCTCTGTTCAGTCGTACGAATTTCTTGCAGAGCTCCACGATTCGACGCGCGCCGGATTACCCAGATAAGGATTAACGTCTCCAATGTCTGATTTCTCCTTCTCTATCCTCTTTGCTTGAACACATATTTCCAATTTTTTGTTCAAACGTTGGATTTTCGTTCTGCGATTCTCTCTGAATCGTGGAATTGTTTCATACTGAGAGAACAACATCGTTTCTTTTTTGTGCGATTTTGAGTTTTGTCGTTGATTATGGGAACCTCCGTCTGTAACATTCTCTATCAAATTCATCCAAAACAGCCGCTGGTTAATGGAACTGCAAGGAGTTCGTATTCCTGTTACTGTAGAGGCTTAACTGGGCGAAGACTCAGAGTTTTAAGTCCTCGCAGAACGTGTTATCAATTGGCTACTGTTGCCGCCATTGTTGAGGAAGTTCACAAGTTAGAGAGTGGAAGAGAGAAACCGAGGTTTCGGTGGGTGGAGGTAGGCTCTGATATTACTGAAATGCAAAAGCAGGCTATATCTCAGCTTCCTCCCAAGATGACTAAAAGATGTAAGGCTGTGATGAAGCAAATTATCTGTTTTTTGCCTCAAAATGGTCATTTATCAGATATGTTGGCGGCGTGGGTGAGGATTATGAAGCCTAAAAGAGCTGATTGGCTTTCAGTTCTTAAGCATTTGAGAATTTTGGATCATCCACTTTACATCGAGGTACGTTAAATCTCCTTTAGTTTCATAAATCTACTGCATAGTATTCTGAAGGTTAAAGTACAAGTTCTAGTCTAACTTAAAAGTACCTAATCTTCAAAACTTTCAATTTTTTGCAAATTTTTGTTCCATAAATCTCTAAGATTTTATAGTTAGATTGACAAATTCGAAAAATTTAAAAATTAATGGTTCTATTAAACATAAATTTGTGTTTTATGTTGGACTGAATCCTAAACTTGCAATTTATGTCTAAATTTAAGAAAAATTAATAATTGAAGACTAAATTTATAATTTTGAAAGTTTAAGAACCAAATGAACACAAACACGAACACGAAATTCATTTTATTTTTGATAAACGTCAGTGTTATATAGGAACCTATTCTGATTGTTAAGTTCCTTCCCCTTCTTTGAGTTTGACAGAAGCAATCCAAATTTCTCTTGAAGTTGTATAATATAGTTGCAAATATCATCTAGATTCTTTGCTTATGTTTAAGAGACTATTTTGACGATGAGTGTGTTTGTTGCTCTCAGGTGGCAGAAGCTGCTCTTGTAGAGAGAACGTTTGAAGCCAGTACTCGGGACTACACAAAGATAATTCATTACTATGGGAAACAAAACCAACTCGAGGATGCTGAAAGAATTCTCTTAAGCATGAGAGAAAGGGGTTTTGCTTGTGATCAAATAACATTAACCACAATGATCCACATTTATAGCAAGGCTGACGAACTTAATCTGGCAAAACAAACTTTTGAAGAGCTCAAACTGCTCGAGGAACCGTTGGATCGAAGATCGTACGATGCGATGATTATGGCATTTGTCCGAGCTGGGATGCCCGAGGAAGGTGAAAACATTCTCAAAGAAATGGATGAGAAAGACATATATGCAGGAAGTGAAGTTTACAAGGCTTTGTTAAGAGCGTACTCGATGGCTAGCAATGCCGAAGGAGCTCAAAGGGTGTTTGATGCTATTCAGTTGGCTGCTATTCCTCCTGATGATAAGTTATGTGGTCTACTGATCAATGCGTATTTGATGGCAGGCCAAAGCCAAAAGGCACAAATTGCTTTTGACAATATGAGGAGGGCTGGTCTTGAACCTAGTGATAAATGCATAGCGTTGGTATTGAGTGCATATGAAAAGGAGAACAGGCTGAACGCGGCGTTGGAACTTCTCATAGATTTGGAGAAGGAGAAGCTCATGGTTGGGAAGGAAGCTTCAGAAGTACTGGCAGCCTGGCTTAAAAGACTAGGGGTGGTAGAAGAGGTAGAACTTGTCTTGAGAGAATACGCTGTGAAAGAAGCGAGCGGATAAGGTATGAACAACTCAAGCCCACTACTAGTAGAAATTGTCCGCTTTGGCCTGTTACGTATCGCCCTCAGCCTCACAGTTTTAGAACGCGTCTACTAGGGAGATGTTTACACACAGTTATAAGGAGTGTTTCGTTCCCCTCTCTAACCCATGTGGGATCTCACAACCCACCCCCTTGGGGCCCAGTGTCCTCGCTGGCGCACCGCCCGGTGTCTGACTCTGATACCTTTGTAACAGCCCAAGTCCACCGCTAGCAGAAATTGTCCGTTTTTGCATGTTACATATCACCGTCAGCCTCACAGTTTTAAAACGCGTCTACTAGGGATATGTTTCCACAACCTTATAAGGAGTGTTTCGTTTTCCTCTCCAACCGATGTGAGATGTCACAGGATAAGGTACGAACACTTCCTTGGGTGCAAAGTTCACTTTTCCCATTGAATTGAAGTATAAAGAACACAAATTTTTGCTTCATTTCTTCTTTTAAAGGAAGTGGTTGCATAATTTTAAAATAGAAATAGATGAGAAAAGAGTTTTGCAAGCTTGTTATTGAAACCTTCATGATGATCAAAACATGATACAAGTAAGCTGAAGTTTAACTTATTGATCAGCAGGAAGAGCACTGAGATTATTAGCAGTCCAATCACGAGTTAGGCTCATTTAGGGACGTAGGGAAATAGCGAGGCACCAATGCGTTGCATCGTGGAGAGTTGTTTTTGGACAATTTGTTGATCAATGCTGCCCATGGATGGGAAATTGTTGCTTCTAATTTGACAGAATTCCAATGGAGACTGCAACTTTGCCGGCGAAGCTTGCTCCACAGGATCGAGAAGTAGTGAAAGATCTGATGCAGCAGCAGGCAAAGAAGGGCAATCTAATGGAAGGTTTACAATTGAGGGTATTGTTAGCTTGACCAGATCTTGTGGCTGTGCCTGTGGATGCGGTGCTGTTCTTGAAAGCTCAGATGCTGCTAGGTACGCTTGCAAGTATGAGAGCTGTACTTGCAACCTCGCAGCCTAAAAAATAATGTATAGCACTCGAATTAGTTTAAATTTTCAAATGGTTATCGAATAGAGCTTCAGCTAATTGAATTTACCTGTTGTTGAAGGGCAAAGATATGAGCAACACAGCCAAAAACTGGCTCTCTAACACGAGCTTGTGCCTCGTAGCATATAGTTATAGCTGCATCGAGGCGCTTGTGTTCAGGAATATGCAGAAGTAGCTTCGACACATTACTGGCTCCGAACACTTTGTGCACGGCTGCAAAATGTGTCGTGCCTTGTTCAGAGTCAAAGTAGGGTGCAAATATACACTCGGGTGTACACTTCCTTCGCAGAAACTTGCACGCCCCACACGGTCCACCGCTGCCATTGCTGCTACTACCACCATTGCCCTCCTTGCAACCTCCACCGCCGTGCCTTGAGCTCATTCCGGCCTCGCTTTCTTGCCGTTCTTTCATCAGAAGCTAAGCAGGCTTACTGGAAGAACAAGACAAGTATGGATTTATATATATATATATATATATATGGAGCTGACTTTGAGGTTTGTGGATCACAAGGTATGTAACACTTTCTTTTACTCTATCTCTTAGTTGTTTGATGGGATTTGCAAATTATAAGGAAATGTAGGTTTTGGAAGATTGAAACATAGGTCCATTTTTGTAATAATATTAATGAATTAATATTATGAAAATTCCGCCACCCTCCATGTTTTTAAAGCTACGTGGAGTGGAGGATACGAGGACCGCCAATAAATCTTTTTTTAAAGGTTTTTAAAGCTAATTAATGAAAATATATATATATAGAAAATATGAACCTACTTGTAAAATAAATTTGTGTTGACAACGAGGTGGATTATAGGGATAATTGTTTATTATTATTTATGTATTTATTTATTTATTTATATTATTCAATTTGAGAAATACTTTTTTGGCTTGATTTCTCTTCCACAATTAGTAATGGAATTCATTTAAAAATAATTTATCAATAAATTCATATTTTGTATCAAATATGAAAATTTGATCATAGATGGAGTATATGGTAGCATGCTTATAGTTTGTGAAGTGTAGAATTTATCACGTGGAATAGAAATATTTTCAAGGTTAAATTAATTTTAAAAAATATCCTAAATTTTATATTTTGTTTGAAAAGTATCTCCAAACTTTTAAACATTTCAATAATATCTAACTTTCAAAAATGTTTTAAAAATAGTTTTAAATGAAACCCATTAATACACTGTTTAAGAAATATTTTCAAAATTGTTTTTAAAATATCCTTAATTTTTAAAATTTTATTTATTAATATCCTAAATTTTTTAAAAATATCTTGATCAAGATTATTTTAAAAAGTGGGAGGCATTAATTGTTACTTGTGAAAATTTGAAAATTTGAAGGTATTTTAGAAATATAGTACTAACCAATAATATTTTAATTTAAAAAAAATTAAGGTGATGTGTAAAGTTTTTAAATAAGTTGGATAGTATCATTAAATTTTAAAAATTTTAAAATATTTTTGAAATAAATTAATTTCAATATAAAATTAATTTTTAAAAGTTTAAAAATGTTATTCAAGTTTTTTTTTTTTTTTTTAAATCATCTTGTGATTCTAAAAAGTCCAAAATTAAAATTAAAAATTAATAAAAAGAAAAGTAGAGGAGAAAGAGTGGAAAAAGAAGAATCTAGAGAGGGAAGAAAAATGAAGAGGGCAAGAAATAAAATATATTTTTATATTTTTAAAAAATATATATTATTTTTGGTGTGTACAGAAAATGCTGCTTGAATTATGCAATATCTTAGAAGTTTTCTTGAGCTTATTAGTAAAAGATTTAGCCTCGAGATTACCAAAATTATGGCCTACTACCACTATCATTACTTGCCAAAATTTTCAATCTTCAATAAAACTATGTATTAAAAATTACAACTTGACATCAAATCTTTGAAAAAAAAATCCCCTATACACTCTACGCTGTCCTTAAACTTTTTTTAATTAATACTTTAGTGCTTATTAATTACTATTGAATATTTTTATTTTATTTAACATGAGACTTTAAGTAACTTATTTTCAACTTCAATACTAAATTTATTGTATGTAGCTTCAACTATAAGTTAGCTCTTGAAAGTTTAGTGGCAAAGATGTAAATATATTGTAACATGAAAAATAATTTATACCCTAAATTTTTGTGAATAAATCTTCCATTCATGGGTAGACTATGATTGATGCATGTACAATTTTCAAAGCAAATCCAAATTGAGAGTCTAAATTGATTCAGATACGAAACTTTATAAGTTTAGTTGGTAAAATCGGAAGTCTCACATTATGTTTATCCAAACGGTAGCAATATAGGGTCTGAACTTATATACAGAAAAGTTCAGGGTTGTAGTAGATACAAGCTCTAAAGTTTAGGAGTAAAAATTGATATTATTTCTAACATTTATGAAGATGACATTAATAATAGTTTACTATTGATAAATAAATTTGAGAGGTATAAAATGATGAAAATAAATATGAAAATGAAGAGTCAAAATTGTTATTTTTAAAAGTAAAACAACTAAAATAAGCTATCCCTAACTACTCTTGGGTATCATAGAAAGTTAATAAACTTGGACTGTATTTTTTAAGCAATTTTGATGCATCTTTTTCTTATTTAAGACAATACTGTTGGAAGTCAAAATAAGACAATAATTGGTGGAAAGGGGAAAAAGTCCAAAGGGCTATGAAATGGGTAAATGATTTAAGAAAATGTAGGGTTGTTCATATGCAGTTTTCACTAACACATGGCCATTAAATTATTATATCTTATACGATTTACCCAATTTGACTACATATTAATGGGCCTTTTCTGGCCCAGAAGTTAAATCTCGTACGTTGATTGGGCTTTAAGCCCACTAAGCCCAGAAAAGAGATTTGAGCCCAGTGAAAATTTTGAACTTCAACCTGAAGCAAATTTGTAATTCAACCCTAACAAAAACAAGACGAAACTTCATCCATATCAAATCTTTTGTCAATATTTTGCAGAGAAAATGCTAAAATATCAACAAACAAACAAACAAAAAAAAAAAGAAAAAAAGAAAACAACCGAACAAGGATCAAATTATGTAACTATAAACCAACCTTAAGCCAGCTGATGCAACTGGGGTTCCATTCAAAGGCACCATCAGCCAGGCCACTTGACCTGCATACTCGAGGCTGGATAGCTCTGCAAAAAAGGAAACCATTTAACCACAAACCCGACCCGACGAAGCTACGTTAGCCATAGCCAAAGCCAAGGTTACAAATAAATTCATTCGCCTCGACCCAGAGAGAAATATGTCTCACCAGCTTCCTCTCAGTTTACAGCCACTTAGCCTCCCAAACCCGACGAAGCTGGACATCGGGCGGGTAAAACAATTGCTTACGTTCGGCTAAAAGGCTGTGCAGTATGAACTTATTCAGATTTTCTTTTATAATCAGCCAAAAAACCAGAGACAGATTTATCATATGCACTAAACAAAACCTCAGAAAAGTGCACAAAACAGCAACAATATCTGACCTCATAAAATGAGAAGCCAACATTCAAGGGGAAGCATGAAGAGTCTTCTTCACATCATGAACATAAACAAAGTGTTGATAATTGTGAAGAACATTTTCTAAATAAAAGTAAAATGTCAACACATCACAGATCTCTCTCACCTCGGAGCAGTCAGAGATTTGTACAGACAGCAGTTTATACATCCTGCATCTAAAACAGGCCCATCATGAAGCATAGGCAAATCGAGCAAATCGAGCAAATCGAGCATCTCGAGTTATCAGTCATAGGAATAGAGAGAGCAGAGAGACCATAACTAGAAGAGCTAAAAGAGAGAAAAGAATGAAAAAAAATCTCGATGTATCCGAATAAGTAACGGAACAAGATTGGATAGAAATGGTCAGTGGTATCAAAAAAATTTGAAGGCCCAGACCAGAGTTACAAATACTGTTGAGTAGAGTCTGTATAGAGTAGTCAGTTAGCCAAACTTTACAAAAAATACATTGAACAAGGATGCCAAAATGCTCACTTGAGGCTTCAATCTCCTGTGTACATAATTTACAGCCCCCCATCCTGATTCCAGCAGTGGGGATGTGCAAGTGAGAGATCCGTAAGCTCGTCACTATACTAGAGAAGATCTCGTGGCCCTTCGAGGGCCTAAACAATCTCCCCGTGCTTAAATCCAGTATCTCCACAATCTGCATTAGAGTCCAGATCACAAGGAGAATCGTACCATTTAGGGTTCTCTTGGTAAAATCCGTCAACATGTATACCAACAAGACCTACATCTGCTACCATGCTCTCGTCGTGTCTCATGGGCTTGATTAGTTTTGTATCCTCGCAGCCAAGAATGCTTTTATCGTTAAAGTCAGTGCATTTAAACCATCTTTCGGGTTTGCAAGGCTCGCTCGTCAGTTCTTTCTGATTTCTGCAGTCTGCCCTCATATCGTCCTCCCAAGGAACGACATCTCGAAGGGAGTGACCAAAACTGTCCACATCGTCCTCAATCAATTCCCCATCTTTGGCATCGCCATATAAACGTTCATGATGGTGATCGGTCCAATGAGCCAAATCATTCTCCCCATCTAAAACGTCGTCTGAATGTGGCTTTTCTGCAAGCAGCTCGATTGGCTCCAACTTCTCCTCCCTCGTACTCCTAAGCTTACTTAAAACATCGAACAAATCACGAGATACTGAACCCAATAGCTCGTGTGGAACCTTGGTAAGTTTCCCTTCTAACAAGTCAAGCTCATTTCTCACCTCATGCAACTGCTGCAAGATAGAAAGCTGCAAATTTCCTTCATCCTTCCCCATCAATCTAAATCCTTCACTTTCCATGTCATCGTTCACCCCATACACTGTATCGTGATCCATTAACAGGCCACCTTTGTGTCCGATCACACGATGCATAATTCTCGCATTTCCATCCAGTGGCCCGGGTTCATGCCCTGAATGCACAGCATACAACTTGAACACAGCCATACCCTCATCCTGATACACAAATGTCTTATCCTTCTCATTGTAATTGGTAATGGGCACAATGGCCCGGATACGAAATCCACACCCGCATCGCTTTGATGCATATGGCTCTCTTTTCAGAACCTTCGACTTCTTCGTAGCAGGTTCCCCTGCCCTATGACAAGCATAATCCTTAACCTCCGCCATGAAAGGCTTATACCTAATATACTTCTGCCTAATGCAAAGCACCACCTTATGCTTAGCAGCCAATTGCTGAAGCTTGTGGGGCACTTCATTTGCAGGCACCTCAAGAGTATCCGTATACTCGAACCTGCGTCGTTTACTCCTCGAGCCCGACGCTGAGGATGCCGAATTACAAACAGGGCAAGCAGCAACACAAACCCTAATGTAACTCTCAGGAATCCCATAAAATTTAGCACCTACAGTCCAAACCTGCTTAATTCTCTCTATGGTTTCTT